GGGGTGGTCGTGCTGGGGCGTGGTCGTGCTGGGGCGTGGTCGTGCTGGGGCGTGGTCGTGCTGGGGCGTGGTCGTGCTGGGGCGTGGTCGTGCTGGGGTGTGGTCGTGCTGTGGTAAGGTCGTGCTGGGGTGCGGTCGTGCTGGGGTGTGGTCTTGCTGGGGTGGGGTCGTGCTGGGGTGTGATCGTGCTGGGGTGGGGTCGTGCTGGGGTGTGGTCGTGCTGGGGTGTGGTCGTGCTAGGGTGGGGTCGTGCTGGGGTGGGGTCGTGCTGGGGAGTGGTCGTGCTGGGGTGTGGTCGTGCTGGGGTGTGGTCGTGCTGGGGCGTGGTCGTGCTGGGGTGGGGTCGTGCTGGGGTGGGGTCGTGCTGGGGTGGGTCGTGCTGGGGTGCTCCGCACCCTGTGATTTATCGATCGGGTCGTGCTGGGGTGTGGTCGTGCTGGGGTGTGGTCGTGCTGGGGTGTGGTCGTGCTGGGGTGTGGTCGTGCTGGGGTGTGGTCGTGCTGGGGAGTGGTCGTGCTGGTCGTGCTGTGGTCGTGCTGGTGTGGTCGTGCTGGGGCGTGGTCGTGCGTGGTCGTGCTGGGGGTGGTCGTGCTGTGGTGAGGTCGTGCTGGGGTGTGGTCGTGCGTGCTGGGGTGGTCGTGCGTGGTCGTGCTGGGGTGTGGTCGTGCTGGTCGTGCGTGGTCGTGCTGGGGCGTGGTCGTGCTGTGGTGAGGTCGTGCTGGGGTGTGGTCGTGCTGGGGTGTGGTCTTGCTGGGGTAGGGTCGTGCTGGGGTGGGGTCGTGCTGGGGTGGGGTCCTGCTGGGGTGTGGTCGTGCTGGGGTGTGGTCGTTCTGGGGTGTGATCGTGCTGGGGTGTGGTCGTGCTGGGGCGTGGTCGTGCTGGGGTGGGGTCGTGCTGGGGAGTGGTCGTGCTGTGGTGAGGTCGTGCTGGGGTGTGGTCGTGCTGGGGTGTGGTCTTGCTGGGGTGGGGCCGTAGCGTTTCGCTCGAGACATCCTCAAATTTTAATTCGCCGGCCTCAAAAACAAGCGTTTCGCTCGAGACATCCTCAAATTTTAATTCGCCGGCGCTCAAAAACAAGCGTTTCGCTCGAGACATCCTCAAATTTTAATTCTCGGGCTCGTTATTTATCAGGGAAAAATTCGCCGGCCTCCTTCGACCTCGTTATTTATCAGGGAAAAATTCGCCGGCCTCCTTCAAGCAGGCACCGGGGGACTAGTTTACAAACTAAAAGAGAACCCTGGGCTTAAGCCCTTTCCGGGAAAAATGCCACACCTCACGCAGATCGGCGGGGTCAGGGTCAAAAAACACAGGGGATTTCTGATATTTCCGAACTTATGCAACTTCAAGAATCCAAAACTCCGTTCCCAGCGCCGTTCCGGAGGCCGCGGTACCTCGTTATTTATCCAGCGAACGCGTTTACCTCGTTTTTGATAGTTTAAAGTCGATGTCGGCAAAAAAGTGGACTTCACCTGTGAAATATCGAGGTTTCCTTAAAGGCAGTAAAATTCCAAGAGCACGATCTGCGTGAGGGGTGGCGAAAAATGGCCTTCGTCCTCACAATTGAAATCCGCCGGCCCCCTTCGACCTCGAAATTTATCGCACAAGAATTCCGCCGGCCCCCTTCAAGTAAAAACCGGGGGTAAACCAACTAAAAGAGAACCCTGGGCCCATGCCCTTTCCGGGAAAAAAGGGAGCACAGTAGCCAGAACAAAACCATGCTAATACAGAAACGTCCCTCCTGGACCCTCCTTGGAGCGGGGGAAAAGCGAGACGCGCTCTCCGAACACATATCCCAGTACAAGCAAGTATCTCCTGAGGCCTCCTAGAGGCGGGGGGAGGGGCAGATGCGCTGCACGAGCACACAACCCACGTCTGAAAACGTCCTCCTGGGGCATCCTGGACACGTGAAAACACGTGGTTCCAGCTGGGGGTCACCATGTTCGATACCTCCCTGGGTGGCCTGGACACGTGAAAACACGTAGTTCCAACTCGGGGCAACCATGTTAGATGCCTCTTGGGTGGCATGGACACGTGAAAGCACGTAGTTCAAGGTCGGGGCCACTATGTTAGATACCCCTCTGGGTGGCCTGGGCAAGTGAACACACGTGGTCCCAGAGATGAACCACCATGTTAGATATCCCCCCCTGGTGGCCTGGACACGTGAAAACACTTGGCTTCAGCTCTCGACCACCATGTAAAATAACTCCCGGGTGGCCTGGGCATGTGAGAGCACGTAGTGCCAACTCGGGGCCCCTGGTTGGCCTGGGCACATGAAAAACGTAGTTCCAACTCGGGGCAACCATGCTAGACACCGCCCTGGGTCGCCTAGACACGTGAAAACAGGTGATTCCAACTCGGGAGCACCATGTTCGATGACCCCCAGGATGGTCTGGACACGTCACAAATACGTGGCTTCAGCTCGGGACCACCATAGTAGATACCCCTCCGGGTGGCCTGGACAAGTGCAAACACATGATTCCAGTTCGGATCAACCATCTTAAATATCGCCCTGGGTGGCCTGCGTGAAGACACGTGGTTCCATCTAGGGACAATCATGTTACATTACTTCCCTAGGCGATGTGGGCACGTGAAAACAAGCAAGTTGCAGCTCGGGGTAACCATGTTAGATACTCTTCTGGGTTGCCTGGACACGTGAAAACGCGTGGTTCCAGCTCGGGGTAGGCGCGCTAGATACCTCAGTGTGGCCTGGGCACGTGAAAGCACGTAACTCCAACGCGTGACAACAACCTTAGATAACCCCTCCCGGTGGCCTAGACACGTGAAACACGTGGTCCCATCTGGGGGCAACCATGTTAGATATTTCCTGGGCGACCTGGGCGACAAGCATCCGCTTGAGACATCCTCTGAATTCTGGCCCCCCAGGAGTGGAGCCATCTGTAGGACAAAACCAACGTTTCGCTTGAGACATCCTCAACAAGTTCTGCAAAACAAGGGTTTCGCTCGAGACATCCACAGCGAAACAAATGTTCACTTCATCATGTATTTGATCGATCGGGATTTCAAAAACCAGCGTTTCGGTAGAGGCCCCAAGCTTTTTGATTTGCCGGCCCAACGCGACCTTTCATAAATCGCAAAATGAATTCGCTGCTCTACGCCATATGAGGAGCGGAAGGTATTACCATCTAAAAGAGACCCTGGGGTCGCGCCTTCTCCTGGAACACAGAAAGCATCGCCACGCCATGTCGGAGGAATTCTTGGGTCGGCGCTGGACCCCCTTTCCCACCCTCCTGGGCGGCGCCTCTGGCGCCGCCCCTGGCGCGCCCCACGCGCTGGAGGAGCGGTGCGGGGAGGGTGGATCCAGCGCGGCCCCAAGAAATTCGCGCGGGCCTCCAAACAAATGCATGCAGCCTGTTACTATCGTCCCTTCCATTTAGCTTCGGCCCTTCAACGTCAGGACCTCTTCTCAGCACACCCCCAGAACTCTCGACCCCGCCCTTCGGACTGACTCTTCTCCCCAAACCTTCTCTGATGGCCCCCGGGCCACATGCAATAAACCATCAAAATTGATGTGGTCATGAGGCGGGAAGTCTGGGTACACTCGCCCCCCTCTTGTTCCATGATCTGGGCACGCCAACTTGAAAACAAGCCCCTGCTCTTGAAGATTGCCGATCGGACCTGGCAGCCTGTCCTGCCAATCTCCGTGGTGGGTCGCCGACTGTCCGCTCCCCTGCCATCTTCGTACTTCCGGGATTTCCTGCCACCTTTTCAAATCAGAGGCTCTTCCAATCAAGGCTGATCGGCCACATGCGAAAATCGAGCAGGAAGTAGATTGAATAGATGGTCCCGTCTAAACGTTCGTCAGAAGTGAAGTGTGACCGCGCAAAACGCAAGGAGGTCGAACAACCAGAAAACAGAAAATACACAAGTGCGGGTTGGGAAGCGTACGGATGAGAGAAAAGGAAGATGAGGAGGAGGAATGGGAGGGGGAGGAAGAGAAAGATGATGAGAAGGAGTCACGGGGGGGGCATACCTGTGCCTTCGATTTGAAGCGTGCAAGAAGAATCTTGAAGTCTCTACGGGGGCCGCCTGAAACCTCTTGTGGGCCTCTTGGGGGATCCTTTCTTCCGGGTCCTCTTGGAGCGGAGGCCTCGCGCTGTCGGTTCGAATTCCCCCCCTGAGGCCCCTCTTGGGGCCCTCCTGGGGCCGTCCTGGCTGCCTTGTGGGCCCTCTCGGGGCCCTCTCGGGCCCTCTCGGGGCCTTCTTCGAGACGTCTTGGGCCGTCCTGGGGCTCTCTCGGAGGTCTCTTGGGCCGTGTTGGACGCTGTTAAGATCCAAAGGGCGCACTTGCTAGACATGTCAGCCGTCCTGAGGAATGGGACGCCTTGATTCTCTTCGGGCCCTCTTAGGGGTCCTCTTGGAGATGTCTTGGGGCGTTCTTGGGGCGTCTTTGGGGCCTCTTGAGCCGTCTTGACGCCATCTGGGGCCGTTGGAAACCATACTTGCCCGTCTGTGAACTATTCGGAACCTACCCAGGAGCTCGGGGGGGGGGGGGGGGCGGGGAAGCTCCAGGGAGGCTCCAGGGAGGCTTTGGGGAGGCCCAGAGGGGGGGGAGGGGGAACTTAGTGCTTCAGCGGCCCCTGGTGGTCTTCGGCCGAGGGCCCCGACCGAGGTCAGGGTTGTCCGCATATGAGACACACGTTTGACGATGAGGGCGAGGTGCAAACAATCAACGTGCCTCTCGCTCTCTCTTTCTCTGTTTCTTCCTCTGTCGCTTTCTCTCCCTCTGTCTCTTGTTTTGTTATATTTCTCTTCCTCTATCTCTGTCTCTCTCTCTGCATGTGTATACATATATGTATATATATATATATATATATATTAACAAATCCGTCAACCTCTATTCCTTCAGTGTGTCTATCTCCCTCTCTCTCTATCTTTCTCTTTCTCTCTCCCTCTCTCTATCCCCCCTCACCCCTCTACTCCAACTCCTCTCTGCTGAACCAGTCCTGCGCCCCCCCCAGCTACGTCCCACGCGCGGGAACAGGTGAGGTGCGAATCTGGCCAGCCTGTTGTGCAGCTCGCTGGGGCTGTGCGTGCTGCGCTCTGGCGGGGTGGGCGGTGCGCGCACGCCCTCTTCGGCTGCACGTAAGAATGACCTTGGGCAAGAGTGACCTTGGGTGCAAGGCTTCCCGGCCGCTGCGCACGGTGCGATGGTAGCGGCCTGCGCACCTTGGTTCTAGCGCCGCAGCGCCCCCCGAAAGCCGCGCACCGAAGGTCACTCCAGCGAAGGACCACTCTCATGCGCAACCGACCTCTCCCTTCGCGCCGCGCGTCTGGCCGGCCAAGCACGCTGCACCTTGGACCCGGCGCACGCCTCCTCAACGCCAAGCGTTAGCCCCACCCCAACCGGGCGGAGGGAGTACTTTGGGGATCTCAAGCCATATGGTGACAGACCGCGCCGTGACCGAGAAATCGCAAGAGATCTCACCACGCGGTCCGTCGCCGCACGGCTCAAGGATACTGGGGGCCCCAGTCGCTCGAGACATCCTCAGAAAAACGGCTCAAGTCACAAAATCGCGTGGTGACCCCGACTCCCCCATAACTCACCACGCGGAGCGGTCACCACACCATTTGGGGGCGCCCGAGATATGCGCAGGCTGGTGCGCCTGGGCTGCTTTGCCGGGGGAGCGAGACGCGGAGAGACCGCCACGCACCTGCAACCGCACCGGTCCCGTATCCCAGTCGAGGCGCGGCGCACCCCTCCCCCTCCTCCCGCTCGCCGAATTCTGCCCCTGGCCCTCGAGAGAGGTCGAGGAGGGAACTGTTCCGATGTCTTCTCAGTGAAGGCCTGGGCCCTCTGGATGCCTCGGGGGGGGGCCTGCGCGTGGTCCTCTGGGTACCTCCGGGGGCTCAGGAGCCGGGGCGGCAACAAAAGGTACCACTTCCTCGGATGGTCGTCTGGGGGGCCTCTATGGGGCCCACCTAACGGATGTAGTCGACTCTAGTTCGAATGCAGCTCGACTCAAGTCCGGCTCCAGCTCGACTCAAGTTCGGCTCCAGTCGACGGACGTCCGCCGCAGCATCGACGCGCGAAGGGAGCGAGTGGCTCGAGGATGGTCCCCAGCTTCTCGTCCTCCTCGCTCCCCTTTCGCAGGATGGTCAACGCGCCAGGGCCCAGAGCACGAATTTCCTGTCATTCCCAAGCGCTCCTGAGTGCTCCTGCGTGCTCACAGGTGCTCCCGGGGGGCGTGTCGCGTGGGCCTCTGGGGCGGGTAGCCCGCTCGGAGCGACCCGACGAGCAGGCAAGAGTCTGTCCAAGAGCGCCCCAAGATGGTCCCAAGAGAGCGCCGAGGCGGCCCATGAGGGCCCCAAAGGACTCCAAACAGGCCCCCAAGAAGAGGCCCGCAAGAGCCCTCCAAGAATCCCCCGAAAGGCGTCCACCGACCCAGACACGGTGGCGGGATTCGCCGAAAGCCATTAGATCCGCCACCCCCTACGGCTTGCCACAAGGGTGCACGGCGTGCAAGACTTTCTGTAGCTCTGGTCCGTGAAAGAAGTTCCCAAGGACCTTCGCCCGAATGCGCCGCTCACCCAGGAGGGCGCATAAAAGGTTTCTCCCGTCGGCCTCCCGTCACGGAAGGATCCATAAACTGCCCAGGTCGTCGGTCTTTCTGCTCCAGTCGGCCCAAGATGGCATCCAAGACTGCCGAGATGGTCTGCAAGACGGCTACGATGGCCCCAAGAAAGCCCAAGATGGCCGCAAGCTGTCTCCAAAACGGGCTGCGATGCCCCCAAGATGGCCACAATATCGCCCAAGACGTCCCACGAGGCCTCCAAGACGGTCAAAGAGGCCTACCTCCAGGAAGGCTCGAAGAGGCCAAAATGAGTGATTTTCTTCTTGGCTGATGGATTCGAGCGTTTAGTCGTTTTCGGCTTTCCGACGGCCCATGATGGCCCCAGAGGCCACCAATATGGCCCCAAGAGCGCCCAAGAGACCTCCGAGATTGCCCCCTGATGGTCCAAGAGGCCCCTGAGACTGCCCAGGACACCTCCAAAATACACAATATTGCCTCCAAGAAAACCTTGAAGCGCCCCAAAAGGGCCCCGAGTCGGCCCAGTGGCCCCGAAGACGGCTTCCGACAGAGTCAGACGGGCCAGGAGCGCCCCCTGACGGCCAAAGAGCCTCACAAGGATCCTCCAAAGGCCCCCAAGAGGCCTAAGGAAGCACCTAAGAAGCCTCAACGAGGCATCCAAGAGGCCCCCAGGAAGCCCCCCGGAGGCTCGAAGAGTGCCCCAGGAGGCTCCCAAGAGGTCTCCTCCTGCTCATTCTACTCCTGCCCTCCGCCTCCTCCTCCTCCTCCTCCTCCGCCTCCTCCTTTGTACTCCCTCTGCTCCTCTTCCTCTTTCTCCCCCACCTGCTCCCCGAAGGGTTTCCGAACTGGCTCGGAGGACACGCAGTCCGACAGCTTGGCAGAGCTCTGGCAGCAACGTTCGGCCACATGGACTCTTGGCGGCGGTGATCTGCCGTAGGCGTCTTCGATCAACCGCCTCCTCGTCTTAGGAGGCAACTACTGGGAGGTTTTGTCGGAAAGATTAAGGAGGATTAGGCCCCATTTGGGAGCTGGTACGCCGGAGTGGGCCTCGGATGAAGCGGGATTAAGCCGGATGATTCGGGATTAAGCGGGATTAAGGTGGATTAAGCCGGACTTCGGACCAGGGCAAAATCAGAATTTGACTTCCCAGGAGTTGCATCCGAACTCTTCCTCCCCCTCCACCTTAAATTCGTCCGATCCCCCCTCTCCGCATCGCAACAGCCGTGGCAGATCCACCGGGGGAACGGGGTTTGGTTGCCGGCGAGGTACCCTATCTGGCGCAGCCTTAGTGGCATTACCATCCACCCCCTCGTCCTCCGCACCCCCCCTCCTCATCCTGCCCCTGTTGTGGCAGCAGCTGGGAGAACGAAGTTCTTTTTCCTGGATCAGAGCCTCGACGGCCAACTGGCACAGGGCGTGCACTTGCTTCCCCGCGAGAGTTCGAACGACGCTGTGCGAAGGACTCCTCGCACCGTGAGCCTTGGGCGGCGGCACCCTTCGCGCGTGGGGCTCGCGGTCCGTTGCCCTGGAGCACCCACGCCAGACCGTCCACCTTCTGCTTCCCTGTCTTCCTTCTTCCTTCGGCTGCTTGGCACGTCCGTCTGATTCTTCTTCTTCTGCCTCATACATGTTCTCCCCGTCTCTCCTCGCCCCATCTTCCTTCTCCTGCTGCTACTCCTCGTCCTCGTCGTCGTCCCCGTCCTTCTTCGCTTCGCCAAGCGCGTGTTCCTGCGTATCCCTGCAAGGGCGCAATGGCGATACACGGCAACAGGCGAGTCGCCCCTCCAAGGAGGAATTCCAAGGGACGTGCCCGCAGTCTGGGAGGCACACCGGCATGTAGAAATCCTCCTTCTCGTACTTCTGATCCTTCTCCTTCCTCCTTCGACTCCCTAGGATGCCCCCCCAAACCTTTGGCCGACCTCGACGGTCGGGACTTTTTGCGGAACGTGTCGCGGCGGCGGCTCCGGCGACATGCTAGGCCTGGCATGTGGGTAGCGTGTCGCTCCGATCTGTGGGCTGCCCCGTGGACTGAGAGGCTCGGAATGGCTCGGGGCGTTGAAATCTGGGGGGAAGTGGATGGCGTGTTGCGCCGAAGCGTGGTGAACCAGAACCGGCGGAGCGACACGCTATCCCAAAGTCCCCCACCGTAAACCCGCCCTCCTCCTCCTCCTCCTCCTCCATTCCTTTTCCTTATAGATCAATTTTCCCTGCCGCACCCCGAGGCCAATTTTTAAGGCGGGCCGGGCGTTTCGCCTGAGACTTCCTCACCCTTTTTCCGACTATGAAGCTTAAGAAATGGCAACAGCTTCACAGATGGAGGGCGGGTCGTTTTCAAAAAGTGGTTCTCGCCTTAGCGCCTCGCACATTCGTTTTCAACAGTTGCAAGAGTTTAACAAATAAGGGCGGGTGGCCTTCAAAATGTGGCTCTAGCCTTAGCGCCGCGCACAGTCGTTGAACAAATATGCAAGAGCTTCTCAGATTAAGTGCGGGTCGTTTTCAAAATGGGGCTCTCGCCTTAGCGTTGCGCACATTCGTTTCAAGAATGTGCAAAAGGGTTTCACGGATTGAGGACGGGTCGTTTTCAAAATGTGGCTCTCGCCTTAGTGCCACGCACATTCGTTTTACTATTTTGCAAGAGATTCACGGATTGATGGCGATTCCTTTTTAACATGTGGCTCTCGCCTTTGCGCCGCGCTCATTCGTTTTAAAGCAGTTGCCAAAGTTTCACGGGTTCCCATGACCAACAAACCAGAAATTGCATGTTGGACGGATTCAAGATTATGCGGGTGCAGCAGTTATGTTGATTCGCGGTGTTGAAGTCTCAAGAATGACATTCTGGCACGATTCCAGATCGTCAGGACGCAGCATTCAGGTTGATCCGCGGCGTGGAAATCACTAGAACAAGTGTCTTGGCGTGTTTCAATGTCTTCAAACGGTTGTCTTCCAACGAGGCAGTTCCCTCAATGGAAATGAACTGTGGTAGGGGCCTGTGAAGAGGGAGCTTGGAGGGATCCCAGCATTGTTGATGACTCTTGGGTTTGCACTGGTCCTCCTCCTCCTCCTCTTCCTCCTCCTCCTCAAATTGGCATTTAGCTCGAGCGTTTTCTCTGGTGGGAAGGTATATTCGGGGCATTTGCAGGTTCCCGCCGCCGCCCGTAGATGCCGTGGCGCGCCTGCAGTGGATCACCGAGTAGGTCGACGCCAGCTGGCCCGTCTTCGTCACCGTCTCGTTAAACGCAGTCACTTCTCGCAATGTGCCACGCGGACCCGCTGCGCCTGGGGTTCCACGCCTCGCTGTTCTCAGTGCTCTTGCTGAGCTGGCGTCTGCTGTGCCGCACTCCGGGGTCACTGACGGAGGCCACTACAGTGCGGACGCGGCCGCAAGAAACCCTCGCAATAAACCCAGCCCTGAAGACCAGCGCGAGGGGTGCGACTGGGGGGAAGCCCAGGGCACCCTAAACGCAGCAGCTTCTTCAACGGACGCGGGAAGTCACCGCGCAGCGAGAGGAGCGAGGAAACCCAGGGTAACTTGATGAAAAGCATATGGTTTCTTGATGCGCGCCCCCACTGTACTCCCACACCACCAATTGCACCATTGTCGAGCTCTGGTTTCGCTCGGCTCCACCTGGTGCAGTTCAGGAGTGCTCGCCGTACGAGGTCTCGGACACGGCTGCTGTCTCTGGCGATTGCGGCGGGGCATGCGATGCTGCAGCGCAGGCCGTTCGCATCACGGGCAGGTGCGCGGACGCGGGCGGGGAGGGCGAGGACATGCGCATGCACGACGTTCCTGTGGTTGGCATTGGCGGTCGGGGGGAGGCGGCGGCGGCGGCGGCGGCGGCGGCAGCCGCGGTTAAACCCCTTGGTCGCATCGGTCTTAGCGGCGTCATTGGGGCCGAGAGGTGGTGGACACGAACGGCATTTTCGTGGAGCAGGAGACCCTGTACAACAGGCGGCGGCTGTGCCGGCAGGAGCTCGACGAGGACTTGTGGATCTTGTATCTTGCTGGCAAGAACCTATTTCCCACCCCTCCTTGGTTGGGTATTCGTTTGGAATAAAGCACTGCGGTCGCGTCCTTCTCCCGCCTCCCGCCTCCCGCCTCCTGTTTCCTGCGAGGGTCCAGCGGAGTGAGGCACCGCGCAGACCTGAGCGGGACCTCGCCGTTCCTGGGGGGCTGCGATCTGCGACACTGTCGCCGAGGGCAGCTGGTGGGTCCAGCGAAGTGAAGCACCGCGCAGACCTGAACGGGACCTCGCCGTCCCTGGGGGGCGATCTGCGACACTATCGCCACTTTCGAGGGCTGCTGGTGGGTCCACCGGAGTGAGGCACCGCGCAGACCAGAGCGGGACCTGGCCGTTCCTGGAGGGCTGCGATCTGCGACACTGTCGCCACTTTCGAAGGCTGCTGGTGGGTCCATCGGAGTGAGGCACCGCGCAGACCTGAGCGGGACCTCCCCGTCCCTGGGGTCTGCGATCTGCGACACTATCGCCTCTTTCAAGGGCTGCTGGTGGGTCCAGCGGGGTGAGGCACCGCGCGGACCTGAACGGGACCTCGCCGTTCCTGGGGGGCTGCGATCTGCGACACTGTCGCCGAGGGCTGCTGGTGGGTCTAGCGAAGTGAAGCACCGCGCGGACCTGAGCGGGACCTCGCCGTCCCTGGAGTCTGCGACCTGCGACACTATCGCCACTTTCGAGGGCTGATGGTGGGTCCAGCGGAGTGAGGCACCGCGCGGACCTGAGCGGGACCTCGCGGTCCGTGGGGGTCTGCGATCTGCAACACTGTCGCCACTTTCAAGGGCTGCTGGTGGGTGCAGCGGGGTGAGGCACCGCGCAGACCTGAGCAGGACCTGGCCGTCCCTGGGGGGCTGCGATCTGCGACACTGTCGCCACTTTCGAGGGCTGCTGGTGGGCCCAGCGAAGTGAGGCACCACGCAGATCTGAACGGGACCTCGCCGTCCCTGGGGGGCTGCGAGCCTCACGGATGCCACTCGCAGAAGTATCTGCGCCCATGTCACGTCATCACCTCTGTATAACGTCTCCTAAGCTACTCATGCCCCGCATTGCGCAGGGGTTTGGTACGTCGCCAAAGTAATTCCACACCTAGGCTCTGCCTAGAAGGCTTCTTACTTTCTTTGCTTCAAGGGACTGGGCAGTGCAACGCGCCCTGGGCGGTTCCCCCAGTCCCCTGGGAGCGGTTCCCCCAGTCCCCTGGGAGCTTTAGCTTTAGCTGTAGCTTTAGCTAAGCTTTAGTAGATTTAACTTAGCTTTATATTAGCTTTAACTTAGATTTACCTTAGCTTTACCGTAGATTCAGCTTAGTTTTAGCTTAGCTTTAGCTTAGTTTTAGATTAGCTATACCTTAGCGTTACCTTAGCTTTAGCTTAGCTGTACCTTAGCTTTACCTTAGCGTTAGCTTAGCTTTAGCTTAGGTTAGCTTTAGTTTAGCTGTAGCTTAGCTTTAGCTTAGCTTTAGCGTAGCTTTAGCTTAGCGTTACCTCAGCTTTATCTGAGCTTTAGCGTAGCTTTACTGTTACTACTAATGCTGCTTTCCAAGGGGCTCCAACTCCTACGTAGGTAGGGTCGCACTTGGATAATTTTATATTTTCGGGGATAGCGGCCGTCATCGGGACCGCCGCCCCCCCCCCGAGATGACGTCACGTTTCGCGCCGGCGGCGTCTGGGAATGCCTAAGGATGACCGAGGACGGGTGGCAGCAGCATGTAGGTGGCGATCTGCACCACACCGCCTGTGTATCATGATGTTTTCACGACGCGAGGGGGTCTGGGTCATCCTTTCCCTCCTCCCTCTCCTGCTCCCCCCTCCTCCTCTTTCCATGCGCTGGCCGACCAGAAAGAGAAAGGCGGGGCTCCAGGCTCCCACAGGGCGCGCTGCAGCTTGGCGAAGGCTCGCACGAGGTCGCCCTGGCAAGGAGGAGGAGGGGGAGGAGGAGGAGGAGGAGGAGGAGGAGGAGGAGGGAGGAGGAGGAGGAGGGGGAGGAGGAGGAGGAGGAGGAGGAGGAGGAGGAGGGAGGAGGAGGATGCCTCCTCTTCCTCCTCCTCCTCCTCCTCCTCCTCCTCCTCCTCTCCTCCTCACCTCCTGACCCTTGTATCGTACTCCATTCCTTTCCTTGACAAACAACTTTTCCCTGTCGCACCCCGAGACGGGTCGAAAGGGCGGGCCAGGCGTTTCGCCGAATACTCCCTCACCATGTACAACCCTCAAAATGAGGCTCTCGCCTTAGCGCCGCGCACATTCGTTGTAAACAAGTGTAAGAGTTTCACGGATCGAGGGCGGGCGGTTTTCAAAACGTCGCCTTAGCGCCCCGCACATTTGTTCTAAACAACTGCAGAAATTTCACGGATTGAGGGCGGTTGGTTTAGAACATGTGCCTCTCGCCTTAGCGCCGTGCACATTCGTATTAAACAAATGCAGCAATTTCACGGATTGAGGGCGGTTGGTTTTGAACATGCGGCTCTCGCCTGAGCGCCGCGCACATTCGTAATAAACATTGCCAGAGCTTCACAGATGGAGGGCGGGTGAATTTCAAAATGTGGATCTCGCCTCAGCGACGCGCACGCTCGTTTTAGAAACTAGCCAAATATCCAGAGCTTCACGGATTGAGAGCGGGCGGTTTTGAACATGTGGCTCTCGCCGTAGCGCCGCGCACAGTCGTCCTTAACATTACAAGTGTTTCGCGGATTGACGGCGTTTCGTTTTCAAAATGTGGCTCTCGCCTTAGCGCCGCGCACGAAAATTACAAGAGTTTCGCGGACTCCCACGGTCAACGTATCAGACACGGCGTTTTGGAAGGATTCAAGACTCGGGATTGTGAGGTTGCAACAGTTACGCCAGTTCGCGGTGATGACGTCCCAGGAACGTTCTGGCACGATTCTGGATTGTCAAGACGCAGCAGTCAGGTTGATCCGTGGCGCCGGAGTCCCGAGAAGTGTACGCGTGTGGTTCGCTCAATCAGCTCCAGCTCAAGATCCGACTCGGTGCCGAAGCGGGACGAGATAACACGGGGCGCAAAGCACATGAACGCGCCACGGGATGTGCCAGGGGCGCACTGTCGGGGAGGAGCCAGGGGACGTGTCAGGGAATGTGGCAAGGGACGCGCCACGGAACGGGCAGCGGAAGCGCCATGGGACAGGCCAGAGAACGCGACGGAGGACAAGCCAGGGGACGCGCCATAGGCGGGACGCGCAAGAGGGGCGTGCCAAGGGGCACGCAAGGGGGCGTCACGCCAAACGACTCGCCAGGGGACGCGCCAGCGCACCAGGGGAAGCGCCACGGAAGGGGCAGGGGCCATGTAGCAACTGCAAGAGTTGGGTTCACGGGCAAAAGAAGCTCATGCAAAAACGCACGGGTTGCGAACAGGAGCGAAATGACCCCATGTAAAGCACATGGTTTGAGCTCACGGGCGAAACGCACACCATGTACAAACACATGTTTTGAACTCACAAACGAAAGGATCCACGACCCGGTAAGGAACTTGAGCCAAATTCTCTGCGGACGCGCGTGCAACACTTCCCCACTGTTTGGCTGCAACCACTACCTCCTGCACGCCCTACTCATGGGGGCTGTGGACACCTGAAAATACGTGCCCCGCACGTACGCGCCAGGCTCATGTGGCCCCCCCCGCCGCCAAAATGAGTCCCCCCCTGTGAGCCGTGGACATGGAAAAATACGCGACCAACGCGCACAAACCAGGCGCATGTTGACCCCCCTCCGGGCAAGCACTTTCACGCGGACGGAATTACGACGCGCCCAAATTAGGTCCCCCCCTGGGGGCCGTGGGCAAACTAAAAATGCACGCTCGCGCCATGCGCATCTTGGGTCCCTCCCCCGTCGCGCACGTATTCTCACGTCTTGAGATTCCGGCGGGCCCAAGTTGGGTCCCCTCCTGGGCGCGCACATGTTCACGCGTTGTGAGCTCGACGCCCCCGAGTTGGGTCCCTCCTGGCTCCTGGGGTCCGTGGATACGCGAAAACACATGCCCCGCGCGTATGCGCAAAGCAAACTTGAAGCCCCCCCCCTCCGCGCACGTAGTTCTACATGTAAAGAATTCGGCGCGCCGAAGATGGGTCCGCCCTGGGGGCCCTGGACACGTCAGAAAAAATGCCCCCCCCGCGCGCGCGTCAGGCGAATGTTGGGCCCCCTCCCCTCCCTCGCGCCCAGAATGGGCTACCCCCTGGGGGCCGTCGACACGTGAAAATTCGTCCCCCGCGCGCACGCGCCAGGCGCATGTTGGGCCCCTTCCATCCGCGCACGTGTTTGTATGGGGGCCGTGGGCATGTGAGAAGATGTGCTCCGCGCGTACGCGCCAGGCGCATGCTGCCCCCCTCCCCCCTCTGCGCACGTACTTCACCTGTAAAGAATCCGGCGGGCCCAGGATGGGCCCTTCGCTGAGGGCCGTGGACACGTGAAAGTACATGCCCGCACGCGCGCGCCAGGCGCACAGTGGATCCCCCACGCGCCAAAGTTGGGCCCCCCCATGGGGGCAGTGGGCACGACACGTGAAAGTTCGTGCCCCGCTCGCACGCGCCAGGCGCATGCTGGGTCCCTCCCATTCGCGCGCGTATGTTCCGATGGGGGCCGTGGAAACGTGAAAGTGCGTGCCTAGCGCGCAAGCGCCACACGCAGTTTGGGTCTCCCCCCTCCACGCACGCACAGAATGCAGCGGGCCCAGGTTGGGTCCCCGCCTGGGAGCTGCGGACACGGGAAAAGAAGTGCCCCGCGCGCGCTCGCAAGGCGCAGTTCAGGTATCCCCCCCATCCGCGCACGCATTTTCACGCATGAAGAATCCGTCGCGCCCAAGTTGGGCCTCCTCCTGGAGGACCTGGACACGTGAAATTACGTGCCCCGCGCGCACGCGCCGGGCGCATGTTGGGCCCCCCCTTCCGCGCACACATTTCTACGTGTGAAGAATACGGCGGGCGGCGGGCCAAATGGAGTCCCTCGCTGGGGAGTCTGGACACGTGAAAATACGTGCCTCTGACGCACGCGCCAGGCACATGTTGGGTCCCCACCTCCGCGCGCGTATTCTTGCGTGTTCAATTCCAGTGGGATAGGTTGGGTCCCTCGCCTGCGGCCACGTCGTGGCCAGAAACATGTAAAAAACACTTGCCGAACACACGCGTGCCGAGGCTGTGGGAGACTCCCATACGCTGCGTCCGCTCCATGATGCCCACGTTCAGATGCAAGAGGAATAAGTCCAATAGTAACAAATCATCGTGGTCACCCGCGCCCACTGCCTTCCCCCTGGCTGACCACGCCTGCCTTACCTTTTAGGAACCCGCGGCCTCCCACGCACTGCGAGAGATTCGCCCCGAGGCCCAGCGTGGGACCCACTGCTGGCGGCGCAGTGGGCCGCCCTGGAGCGTCCAAGGGCCCGTTCACAATCCCAAGACCACAACAGAGTGCTCCCAGGTGCTCCGCAGCAGGCGCAGCGCCTGCGATCGGGCACGCGCGAATGGCGCGCAATGGGCGCTTCTGGGACGTCTGGGAGACAGCCGCCGCGCGGGAGGGAACAATAGCACTCCCACCGACGCTGTAGGCGTGCTTAGGGCGTCTTGAAAATCAACACTTCCGCCCCAATCTCTCCCTCGGATGGGGTTTGACCCCTCTCCCATCTCTCTCTGCCGCCTCCCCCACGACCAGTCAGAAGGTTCGACATCTCCGGTCTGGCTCCAAATGGCCCTTGATAGCCCAAGACTGCTCAAGATGACTTTCAGTGCGCCTCCAAGAATTGGCAAGACCACTTTCGGCCGGCCCAGTGGCCACGGAGCCTCCTAAGGATGACACAAAGAGGCCAAATAGTTTCAACGGCGCGTTGTTTCAATCTGTTTTGCCCCATTGCCTTTTCGTCACCGACGAGTTTCCGAAGCCTCAGGGCGGCTCCAGGCTCGCCCAAAGGAGCCCCAAGAAGAATCCATGACAGCTCCAAGCTGGCCCCATGGTTTGCCATAAACGCCCCATCAGAGCCCCATCGGGCTCCGACGCGAAAAAAATGAGATTGCAAATGCCACCCAATTGGATCGCTGGCCTCCAAAATTATCCCAAAACTGCACCGGAGATCCCCAACAGGGCCCCAAGAGACTAAAGAGGTTCCAGAAGGTTCCCAAAATTAGACCACGAGGCCTGCCAGCTGCTTCCCAGCGGCCTCCAAAAGGCCCCCAAAGCGAAAGATCCGCGAAGGCCTTTCGTGGTTGACTCTTGTCGTCGTCATCGTCGCCGCCACCCCTGTCGTCCTTTCCCCCCTCCCATGTTCCTCATCCTCCTCCCCCTCCCCCTCCCCAACCTTCTCTTCTTCCTCCTCCTCCTCCTCCTCCTCCTCCTCCACCTCGTCCTCCTCCCACGAATTACTCGTCCTCCTCATCCTCCTCCGCTGGATGCTTATCTCCATCCACGGCGACTCCCACTGACGGGCGGACGGCAGAACGAAAATTCGCCAGCCCAACGGGCCAACAGCGTATTAATTCTCCACACGTGTGTGGAGTTCGGGAGGTTTAGAGATCTAGCTCGCGCGCGCGCGAAGGCGGGTGTCTAAACGCGCCACGAGTCGCCCCACGAGCGGGCCAAAGCGCACAAGTAGCGCCCTAAGAGCGCGGGGCAACGTCTGTCAGGACCGGCGCTGGCCCCAAGACAGCCTTAATATGACCTCAAAATGGCTTCACCATTGCCTCAGGACGGCCCAGGATGGCCCCAGCCAGTCTGACGGACTTCTACGACGGCGCAAAAGGGCCTCTAAGACGCCCCAGGAGGCCCTCAAGACGCCCCTGAGACGCCCATAGAAATCACCAACACGACCCCAGTACAGCATAGGCCTCTCCACGGGGGCTGGGCGGCGGGGCGGGGGGAGGAAGGAGGAAGGAGGAAACCACCAACCCTCCCCCCCGAGAGCCAGCTGCCCTGAACGGGG